CCATGAGAAAATCTTATTTTCACTAGAAATATATTCTTTTTGGTGCCCTGAGTCTATGCCCCTTTTTACCCATTCTTTTCACTGACTTTTACACTAACATTAATGACAGGAATAAGCAGGGACAACAACAAAAAAATTGATTGCTTAAACATTTTGTTGCAACAGCTCTTTCAATAATTTCTCTTGTTACAAAAATATGAAGGCTCCTTTTGTTGGGAAGGGGTTTCAAGGAGTCAAGAAAAGTTTGATGAATGTGAATTATGCAAAATTAATTGTGAATTATGCAAAATGAATTGTGAAAAAAATATTGCAAATCAGCAATTTTAAATATATTATCTGTCATTGGATAGTTAATATATTATCCGCCAAAGCTCGTTAACTTATTTTTATTTTATTTCCTTACTAATTTCAATTTAAAAATCTTTCAAATGTCTCTTTTATTTCAATACATAAAATAAAACACTAGCAAATTTTGTTTATTAAATATAAAGGAATTTGGAACTAATATTTTCAGATTCAGAGAGAGAAAAAGAATTAAATTTTAGGTTCGGTATTAAATTATTATTATTATTATTTTTAAACAATCGCCACTTTGCTGTTTTCTGTTTCTTATTAAAGTATAGTATTGTTTGTCCAAATTACTATAGTAGTTTCTTAATTATGACTAATAGTTTATAGTATTTTTGTGTCCGTTTTTGTTTGTTAGGATGTTGAATAACTGTAAAATTTAGGTTTCGCATGTAATTATTAATACGATATCAGCCATTTGTCGAAAATATTCATTTTATAAAATTAACTTGGGATTTCTTTTTTAAAAATGACCTTAAAAAATTCTCAAAATTTTAGAAAATGTAATGAGCCTTTTTATTCTAAATTAATTATGATAAACTAGTTTATTAAATTTATATTTTATCTTCACAGTAAATATATTATACAAAATATCATTTAAAATTTACTTTATTGGAAAAAGAAAAAAAAGCTTTTAATTTCTTTTTTTAAATCCATTTCANTATAGGTGCCTACATATATATATATATATATATATATTGCTTTTTAATGAGTTATTGCGTATAGATTTTTCTGTAACTATTGTTAACATTATTGGAAACATAATTTTTTTTTTTAATTATTGTTCATGTGTTCCTTGAAAATATATATCTGCTGATCTTAAATTATGTAACAGTTCTTTCTTTCTTTTTTTTTTTTTTTTTTTTTTTTTTTTTTTTTTTTTTTTTTTTTTTTTTTTGTTATGCAAGTTTGTATAATCTTTTCGTAGTTTTGGATAAGAGCAGTCAAAACGTAAAAATAGTGATTACTAATTTATTATGTTTGCCATTATAAATTTTACAAGTGTTTTATTCTTTAAAATAATTATTTCTTAAACTAGAGGGCTCCGCCCCCTGCTCGCTGACGCTCGCCAACCCCCGGAGAATTGCTTCGCAATTCTTGCTTGGTTTGCTTCGCAAAACCAAGAATGCTTTGATTTCATATATTTCAATATTAAACTGAATATTAACTGTTATCATCGAAAAGAATTAATTTTCTTAAATGCAGAATAAGCAGTGTGTCAATATCAATGTCACTTTTTTTCGTTGACTACAGTTCCTTCTATGTCCTATTTGTTCTCTAAATGAGCCAAAATTGTCAGAAATTAACATCAATGTGCAGATATAATCTTAATATGAAACTTGTTTAAAAAAAATGATAATCACAATAATACAGACTTTGTCCCAAAGAAATGAATATATTTTTAACACATTTAATTCAATATATATATATATATATATAT